TAAAAACCTAGGAGAAGTCTTTGACCAAAACCATTGCATTCCTCAGCCTGTTTCGTCGGTCCTGGCTTCTCTTACCTTTCTCCACCCGCAAACTCTTTGTATCTTCCCTTCTTCGATTATAGCTGTTTGGCATACGGTGGTCTCTCGGAGGGGGAGAACGCGCAATTGAAGCGTATTATTAATTGTTGCGTAAGATTTGTGTACGGCACCCCACGGGGATCCCGGGTGTCGGGGTTGTATTCCCAACTTTCCTGGCTATTCCCCTCCTTCCGTGCACAGTATTTCCTAGGTTGCTTTCTTTTCCAGTCCATCCACACTCGTCGTCCTCCTTACATCATCCAATCCCTCCAATTCAACTCCTCACATCTCACTCGTAAGACCCGCTCATCCGCAATCGACCTTATCCTTCCGCTACAACAACCCATACCTTCGAAAGACCCTTTCTGATCCGAGCCCCTAAACTCTGGAACTCCCTTCCCCTTTCTATTCGTCACGCTGCCTCCTTTTCCTCCTTTAAATCCCACCTGTATAATTACCTCCTCTCCCTCCAAGCAGAGACCTCACGTTAACATTTTTTATTTTTGTTTAATATTTTCGTAATTTTTTCTTCTGTCCTGCCTTATTGGTATACATTGTGCCAAGATTTCTATATTTTTTTTTTACTTTTAACTTCATAGAAGGAACTTCCATTATTTATTTCATGTAAATTATTCTTAGGGGACACCGTCCTAGAATAAAGTTATTTTTCTTCAAAAAATAAGGAATAAACATACGTCCAGGTTTTTTGTATTGGAGTGTTGGTCTATGAGCATAAAATTCAAATTATTTATTACAATGCTTAGCCAACAATTGAATTCATTTGAATTATATATTAACTTAATTAAATTTATTATTGCATAACAGGGATATTTTGATATGGCGATGTAGCATTGTGTAAGAGAAACGTATTCTTCATTCCATCTGTTTTCAACCTTAAATCTGCTGGTTTTTGCTGTGTCCAAAACCGTTAACGTTAATCATTATTTATTATTACTTGCGACAATTTCTGTAAATTGGACTTATTAATATGGAATAACTTAGGCCTCTCAGTCATAAATAAATTAATAAATTATATTAGCAGTTATTTCTCTGTAAAGTTAAATTAGATTAGTATTTCAAGGGTTTTGCTGTGATTCGTTGCACTTTGAAGTTGTCCATTGAAGCGCGTGAACTGTCTGCGACAGGCATTGCCATGGAATGTCAACGAATATCACTGTATTAATAAATCGGTTTTCCCAATTGGGAAATTGAGCAATTGTTTTGTTGAATTTGAATTTTAATTTCCTCTTTCCGGCCGTTTTCCATTCATGGTCGACGTTCTCCATTCACGTCGGACCGTTCGATAATTAATTACTAATTCTAATTCATTACAATCGGTTTCGATCCGGACGGTCAAAGGCTAGTAGGGATAATTTAATATCAAGGTTCTATGTAGATTCTCTATTAATGATTGTTGCTGTTTCCTATGACCGAAACACTCTGGCCCTTAACTAAGTCTAGCGCTGCGTCCTAAGTCCATCCTTTGTTGAAAGGCAATAAGGAAATGGGAACTCCTTTGTGAACGTTAATTCCACTTCAAAGGCAAGTCGTTTTGGAGAATCTCTGAGGAAATTGACATGTTCCGCCCCACAGAGAACAAATTCACCTGTAAATCACTTTGTCGGCGTCACAATCTCCAGGAAAAAAGGCCTCATTTTATGTTCAGTGGGTGGATTGTTCATATATATTAGGCCTAATAAAAATGTATAAAGAAATTTAAAATTTGCTTCTTCTCTTTTATGTTGTAAAATATAAAATCTATTTGACTTGTTTCATTCGTTTACGATTATCTTCTCACCCTCTCACGCTCACTCTATCTTTCTCCCTCTCTCACACTCTCTCCCACTCTCTCTTTTTTTCTCTTATTTTTCTCGTGGTCTCTCCTTCTCCTCCCTCTCTCTCTCCTTCTCTTTTTCTTGTTTCTTTCTTAATCTATCTAATTCTCTCCCTTTTGATCTCTCTACCCCTCTCCCTCTATCTTCTCACCCTCTCTCATCTTTTCCTCTCTCTCTTTCACTCTTTCTCTTTCTCTCTCTCACTCTTTCTCTCTCTCTCTCTCTCTCTATCTATCTATCTATCTATTTATCTATCTATCTATCGATCTATCTATCTATCTATCTATTTATCTATCTATCTATCGATCTATCTATCTATCTATGTATCTATCTATCTATCGATCTATCTATCTATCTATCTATTTATCTACTTGTTTCACCATCTATCTCCATAACTTTCTATCTATCTATATATTTAACTATTTAGCTCAATCTTTATTTCCTTGTTTCTATCTATTTTTTCTCTACATTTGTCTACCTCTCTCTCTTTTCTCTACTCATTTGTTCACATCACTCTCTCTCTCTCTCTCTTTTTCTCTCTCTCTCTTTCTTTCTCTCTCTCTCTCTCTCTTTCTCTTTCTCTCTTTCTCTCTCTCTTTCTCTCTCTCTTTCTCTCTCTCTCTCTCTCTTTCTCTTTCTCTCTTTCTCTCTCTCTCTCTCTCTCTCTCTTTCTCTCTCTCCCTCTCTCTCTTTCTCACTCTCTCTTTCTCTCTTTTTTTTACGTACCTACCTATCTATCTCTTTCCTCTCTTTCTCACCATTTCTCTCTCTCCCTCTTCGACTCCATCTCTCATATCTCACTCTATCTTCCTTTCACTTCTCTTTTATCCTATTCCTTTCTTTTTCTATCTATTTCTCTCTTTTTACTCTCTTTCTCTCCCTCTTTCTCTCTCTCTTTCTCTCTCTCCTTCTCTCTCTCTGTGCTCTTTCTCTGTACTTTTCTCTCTACTTCTACTTTCTCGCTTTGGACAAACCTCCAACAATTTGCTGTTTTAATAGAGAAATATGTCATCAATATGGAAAATGTATATATAAATATGTATTTATATGTTTTTTCATAATTTTATTTCTTATAAAATATGTATGCCTAAATTAAAAAGACGTAATATTTTTAGAAATTGAATAGTTTTGCATTTTAAGCTAATTTTAAACATATACTGTTCAACTATAAAGTGTTAAAAAAAATTACTTTGCAAATTAATTAATTGTGTTCTTAACAGTTAGGGATTTATGTACTTCTACATGATTCTATTTCGTTTGAACATTTATTGCTAATCGTCTACTATATAAACAAATTATTAAAGGAATCGAAACAGTTGTAAAACTAAAACTAAACTTCTTCAGTTCCGACGCGCTCCATTAACCGAGGTTGGAACGGTTTATATTGCTACAGTTTATGACTTCTTCAGACTGCTCCTACATTTAATACAAGAATTCTTTATGATCTACCATGTAATGTAGATTTAGATTTTCTTTGCAGTTCGAAGTTGCTCGCATGATTTTACGCTTATCTGACGGTTTATTTTGCAAGATTTCTTTCCTCTGTTAACCCTACACGGTTCTATCACACGTCTTGTCATTTTTGTCTTTTTTGTTCCTAAAATTAAGTATTCCTGCATGTGTTATGTTACTAAGCATTTATGAACAAGTTTCCTTTATAAAAATGTAAAAAAATTACATAAATAAAAACAGGCTCAGTTGAAGAAACTGTTTTATTACAATTAATTAAGGTTTTTAGTTGAGATAAAAAAGTCAATGCCACGAGCGGGATTCGAACCCACGATCTTCGGCTTGACGCGCCGCTGCTCTACCATCTGAGCTATCGTGACCTCGATCCACTAGGACTCTAACTTCCCATCTCAACCCCATTTTTTGAATTATCTAGCCGAAGATCGTGGGTTCGAATCCCGCTCGTGCCATTGACTTTATCTCAACTAAAAACCTTAATTAATTGTAATATAGGGGACCGCGGTAGCCGAGTGGTTCGATTCCCACCGTCGCCTCTGGTCCTTTTTTAACAATAATCCACCCCCCCCCCCTCAATTTGAACACACATATAAGAATTTGTCACCATGGCTAATATGCATAGTTCATAACGCCAAAAAATAAATAAAAAATTGTAATATATTAATTGGTCAAGCGGGCCACGAAATTAGTGAATTTAAACTGTTTTATGTTAAGCACAGTTCGTTTCAAGTGCAGTAGATGACGTGTTCTATTTAACCTATTTGCACCTGAATAATATTTCTTTTCGATCAATATTGCTGCAATGTTTACGGAACAACCGTGCAATTGTAAATTACGACATTTCTGCAAAAGTCCGTGCACAAATTCGGCGTTCGGTTCCTAAATTTTTTAATTTTTTAAACACATTTACGATTTGTAACCCTTTTTACATTATGTAATGAGACGGTTTTACAAATGGCATAGATCAGGTGTCGTGAGAGGAGTTAACAACTATTGTTCTCCCTACTTCACGAGAGGATTAATCCTGTTTTAGTGGGTCACGAGGCCTTCTCCTCTTCAGTCCGGTGGGATTATAAGGGTGGTTTCTGTTGGATAGGGATTAGGCAACTCGTTAGGGGTGAGAGGAGAGTTTATTGTGGACAATGGAAAAAGTTTTGATGAAAGAAAACATGATTTATACAACCTATCGTCAATTCTATTCCTACAGAACTGATTAAAGGCACTTGCAGCATGTTGCACATTACATTCGACGACTTCGGACCTCATAAAAAAGTATTTTTTCCTTTGAAATTTTGAGGTCATTGTGAAGGGTGGTGGAGACCTAGCATTGACCGTGGTTCTGAGGACTTTGGGTTGAAAGAACTGTATTCTTTGGATATTGAAAGGTTGAGGTGCCCCACAGTTCTAGTCCTTACATCCAAATTCCAAAAATAAATCTAATTTCTTCAATGATGATTTGAACCTTCTCAGTCCAATCATAGCTTGTTTATTGGCAACAAAGTTCTCTATTAATTGGATGTTAACGTAACTTGCAAGTTTTAATGCCAAAACTGTATAACTATCAATATACCCCTCAAACCTGGAATATATAAAAATATGCTCTGAAATGCTATGTTTCAGGTGCTCCTGTTTTAATCGTCATCACATGGTGGATTGCCCGTTTTATTACTGACGAACAACGTAGCGATTCACAGGTTTTACATTATTGAATTTGTATTACGGGGTTAAAAAGTAAACAAATATTTGGAAACTATCTTGTACAAAAAACCTTTTATTTTACCATACATTTAAATTCACCAAACCGTTTTTGCCTAAAAATGAATATTAACGTTTTATATACAATGTTTCAGATAGTTATGGATCCATTTCAAAAGGGATGTCACTGGATGATGCCGAACATGACAGACTGGATCTACCAGACACCAGCAATTATCGTATTAGTCATCAATCTTATGTTCCTAGTCATGATAATGTTGGCAAGTATATAATTTATGTTTATGTCTTGTTTATGGCAACCCATTCGCCCCTGCATAAACACTACACATTCGGTTTTAGATTTACTGCAATTTTTTGTGTTCAGTATCAATTTTGTTTTTTAATTGTCATTATGCGATCCGATTATTTTGCGTTATCCTAGCGCGCTAGAACATGGATATAAAATAAGCCCAAAATTAGGATTTTTTTATATTTTTTATGTGTGGTGTTTAGTGACCGTTAGTCAATGATTATTTGGAGATCGTGAGATGCGATCTGTTGTGACGTAGTTTCAGAAAAACATTTTCTTTATCGTGCCAACGTTTCGATCTTTATTCAGATCATCTTCAGGGCTCAAAGTGTTTGTTTTCCGTGTAGATGTGCCATTCTTGCCTATCGTTGCACTCTCAATACGATAGACAAAAATGACATATCTACACGGAAAACAAACACTTTGAGCTCTGAAGATGATCTCAATAAAGTTCGAAACGTTGAGAGATCAATAAAATGTTGTTTTTTTAAACCTACGTCACACCAGACCGCATCTCACGATCTCCGAATAATCATTTATTTTTTATTTAATTTTGTTTTGTAAACCAGTTAGAACGAATTCTATGATATTAGAAACATTAAATAATTTTACAAAACGAAAAAAAAATGCGGTTTCAAAAAAATGAGAGGTCTAATAATAAATTTGAATCATACATCGATAAAGCTATACAGTGGGTATGTTTAGCCTAAATAGCTTGTCAGGTTATGTATATAAAACGGGCAGTTTATGAGCCGACAAACAGCTGAGGTCATCGCCGGCCCTCTGTGTGTTTCCTACTTTTTCTGTTATTTCTCTCATATTTTGTTTTAATCAGGACCCATTCGAGCGTCTTCATCTGGTTAATGCCTCTCTCCTTTTAAATGTATAATATGTCGATTTCCTACAAAGCTAGCCTCTCGTTTGTACCGCAGTTTGTCAACTGCAGAGCAGACACGAAATATACAATATATAAACCCACTGCATTTTCGCCAATAACTTACTTTTACTCTCCAGACGATCCACTAACCCGAGACCACTGGATATTCCTCGGGACGGGATTAAACACCCCTTCCTTTCACGCTAATAAATTACATTCATTCCAATAATGACAAAACTCAGACACCCATTAACACTCCAAAACTACGCACAGGTCCGATGATATGCCAAAATATTGTCTATATACATCAAGCCTTTTTGAATTGAAATGGTGCTCGACTGTTATTCTATACTTGCATCAGGGCACCTAATCAGTCGCTTTCCAGAAGGTGATCTGCGTTATTCCCGTATGACCTATGCCTAGTCTTGTCAGTGCGGTAAATCCTCTTTTCTACCAGTTCTCCTTGGACGTCCTTTTAACTTGAGATGGTCAGGTTATAATCATGCAAAATATTCTTCCTAATTAATTACAATTTTTTAGTTAGTGTAATTTATCCATTTTTTCTTGTAAACATTGGTGTGCAAATTTTATATAACATCATTTTTACTTGTGGATCTTTTTTCTCCCCTTCACCAAAACTACGCATTAAATATACTAAATTAAATATACCATGTCATAAGCCATTTACCACTAAATAAAGCTCCTGTTTTCGACAAAATCACAGAAACAAATTGTACGAAATTTGCCTAAAAATTTCCTTATTAACAGTTACAATTCTATCCATTGAACAAACGGAAATTTTTTCTGAAGCAACTCAAGACAAATTTCTTACACTGTATATACCGCGGACATTCCCTTTTTTAAACCATCCTAATCACCGATGCCAATAAACCGTGCCAATGACACCGCTATACTTTCCCTCGTGTGGCCCTGGAAATGTTAAACCCCTCACCATTTCGTATTTTAATCTAAAGAGAAGCCAAAGCAGCAGCCCACAGGTTTATTAAATGGACAAACACCTGCAAGGATAGGCCTTGTAAATAAACAATGGAAACTGAGAAAGGAGAAACAGGCAGATGCCATATTAGGGGTGCCAATCGATGCCAATACTCCAAAATACAATTTTATTAAAAAGTACAAGGTTACTGATACCAGAACGAGATGGATGGGCCAAAGGAACTCTGCGGAAGACAAACTCCTACTGGTACACTGACGGCTTCGAAGTACGACAAGGGCACGTGAGATGGAGTCTTCGGGATGAACCCAAAACCGAACTGACGTTAAACTTAGGTAAATATGCTACAGTTTTCTAATTTGAAATCATAGCGATTGAACACTGCACTAGGGAAATAAAAAGGCTAGGAATACATCTCCGGAAGATAGCCATCTTATCGGACAGACAGGCACTAACGGCCCTAGGCCTCATGCGAGGTGAAGGCAAAAAGGGTTTGGAACTGCATGGTGGCCCTGACGGAAATCAGTCATACTAATGGCCTGCATGGGCAACGAAAAGTTTGACAAGTTGGCCAATTTAGGCCTGAACCCTACTGTGGCTTAGCATCCTACCACAAAAGAGGATACATCTTAAAATGGAACCTTAATGAGTCCAAAACATGGACAATACCACAGGTATGAGGAACGCGAAGAGATTCAAGAAGGACCATCCGCAAGACTCACAAAAGAATTGCTGGAAGGCAACCGCAACCGAACCAGGATTCTGGTTGGACTCCTGACAGGACATTACCGCTTAAGAAAGCACATGCATCGGAGTGTACAGACAAAAGAATTTTCAAATAACTGCCAGGAAGAGAAGGAGACTGCAGAACATATTTTATGATTCTGGGAAGGTCTATGTAGGTGCAGTTCTTGCAACTAAGACAGGAAAACCCCATTCAAGATCCTACACTTAGGAGCCGCTGGCAAAGCTTTGGACGCGCATGGGAGCGCAATGGAACTATTCAGGTCGAAGTTCAGACGGCCTCTCGAATCCCTATCCCTGTACCTATCCATTCCTCTCATATATATATTATTTGGAAACTTCCAAAGCCATGTCACATCACGTGGAAAATGACAATAAACGAAAAAAATTTAAGCTATAATTTACATGGAACCCACTTATATGAAGACAGATATTCTTAAATATTTATTAATAAATAATTATTCTTTCACTTTTTGAGGACCCGGCATTATCAATTGTTGTTTCAGGTCTTGATAACGAAATTGCGCTCAGCGACCAATGTGGAAACGCAGCAGTACAGAAAAGCGGCCAAAGCGCTCCTGGTGTTGATTCCGCTCTTGGGCATAACCTACATACTCTTCATAGTTGGACCGTCTAAAGGGCCGTACTACGCCAACCTGTATGAATACGTTAGGTCAATTTTAATCTCCACACAGGTATCCTAACTATTTGAAAACCACGTAATATTTATTAAATTTGACGCACATACATGTACAACTTGCAATTCTTTATTAGATATGAGATATTTTAAAAACACTATTTTAATCTTAGAACAGTCGAAATAACATGATGAGAGGTTTCTGCACCTGGGTCTTTTTATGTCTGATCCTCTAATAACCCTGGAGAAACGCATCACACTATTATCTTTTTCAAACTTAAAATTAATAGTCTAGGGATTTTGTTTAGCTAAGAAAGGACTGTTAAGAGGACTGTACAGAGTTTAGCCACGAAAGAGTTTTTCCGAACTAGAGATGGCAGTGCTATCGACTCCGAGTGCTAAAGATACAGTATATTTCATTTTTAAGATTTTCAAAACAAAATAACATGCGGAAACGAGACAACCTTCCTGGACGTTGTTTGTGTTCGAAATTGAGAGAAAATATCAGTGCATAGCTCCAACCAGCTTATGACCCTAAAGCCATCCCTAACCATCCCTACCCTAAAGTAACGCCATTTCATTATAATTTTGTAAACTTGATGAAATTAACAAGCTTGCTGTTCTTTAAGCCCAGTCCGTAAGGAGTTAGTTACAGTTAACATGAATGGAAAATATCAGTGTTCCTTCACCCTGCTTATATCCCTTACGTAGTACTATCTCATTATCGTCTTTTCCACTCAAAAACTTGATGAAATTATTATGCCCGAAGGTCTTTAAGCTAGGAACAAAATTGGCAGAAATGGAAAATATCAGTGTATTGCTTCACCCTGCTTATATCCCTTTCGTGGTTCCATACCATTATCGTCTTTCTCAAATCAAAAACTTGGTGAAATTAATAAGCGCCAGGCTCTTTAAGCCAGAAAAAATTGGCATAAATGTAAAACATCCGTGTTTTATTCCATCCAGCATATGGCTCCTGAAGTAGCACCATTTAATTAAAATTTTCTACAAACAGAACTTGATGAAATTAATATGCTTGCACTTCTTTAAGCTAGGAATGTCAGAAGTTAGTTAATATTAAGACGATTGAGTTACAATTAGCAGGAATGGGATACATCAGTGATTGCTTCACCCTGCTTATATCCCTTACGTAGTTTCATACCATTATCGACTTTTCAAACACAAAAAATTGGTGAAATTAATGAGCGTCAGGCTCTCATCAGCGTCATCCAGGAAAAAATTGGCATAAATGGAAAACATTCGTGTTTTACTCCAACCAGCTTATGACCCTAAAGTAACGCCATTTACTTATAATTTTGTACAATCTTAGAACTTGATAAAATTAATATATTAACAGTCCTTTAAGCCAATCCGTAATGAGTAAGTTAATATGAAGATGTCTGAGATACAGTTAGCAGGAATGGAAAATATCAGTGTATTGCTTAACCTGCTTATATCCCTGACCTAACACCATCTCAGCGTAATTTTCTAAACTTAGAACCAGGACAAATTTAGACGCCATGAACTGAAGTAGTGTATGTATATTAAAAGTCTTGAAGTATAATCAGCACTATCGGAGAAATTTTGAGAATTGTTTCACTCTGCTTACAGTCACGCCATTTCATTATCTACTATTTTAGCCACTAAAGGAATTAATATGCTAATAGCTAGTTGAACGGAAGTAGTTAGTTAAAATGAAGAACATCTAGTCACAATTGGCATGAATGGAAAATATCAGTGTCTTCAACCTGCTTATTTTCCTGACATCTCATTATCATTTTGTCCAAACTTAGAAACATTGTCAAAGTGTCATGGAAGATGTTCTTTTAGCTTGGTACTGTAAAAATGCATAAATATTAAAAGACTACGAAAAGTAACAATGTTTATTTGGAGATCGTGAGGTGCGGTCATTTTCTTTATCATGCCAACGTTTCAGTCTTTATTGAGATCATCTTCAGGGCTCAGAGTGTTTGTTTCCGTGTAGATGTGTCATTCTTGTCTGCGTGTTGAGAGTGCCAGACAGACAAGAATGACATCTACACGGAAAACAAATACTTTGAGCCCTGAAGATGACCTCAACAAGATCGAAACGTAAAAAAAAACGTTTTTCTAAAACCTACGTCAAACCAGATCGCACCTGAAGATCCCAAATAATCATTGGTTAACGGTCAAAACACCACACAAAAATAACTATATTGGAGAAACTTAGAATATTAGCTTACCCAGCTTATATCCTAACGTATCTCTTTTAGCTCGGAACGTTCAGATTTTGCTAATAAATTATACAGTTGGAAAAATTGTAATAATTGATGCTGAATCAAGACAACATTCTTGCTCATAATTCGCGTTCATTAGAAAAAAAATTGGCAGAAATGTAAAGTATCTGTGTATCACTTCACCCTGCTTATTTCCCTGATATAGTGACATTCATTACCATACGAAATTAGAAAACTTGTAAGATAAATATGCTAGGATTTCTTATAACTCGGAATGGGAGTTGGTAATTATGTTAAAAAGCTCAAGATCAAATTAGCGGAATTGAAAGATGTCATATTAGTGATTCTCCCTGCTTATATCCCTTTTTCTTATATTTGATTTTTACCAACATAACAGGATGATACTTGCTTTCCGGCATCAGAAAAAAATTCAATCACTAATTATTTACAAAGAATTAAGGTTTTTAGTTGAGTTAAAAAAGTCATTTGCACGAGCGGGATTCGAACCCACGATCTTCGGCTTGATACGCCGCTGCTCTACCACTTGAGCTATCGTGATCTCGATCCACTAGGACACCAACTTCTCATCTCAACCCCACCTTTTGAATTTAATTTTTTTGTTGAGGTGGGAGGCTGGTGTCCGAGTGGTCGAGGTCACGATAGCTCAGATAGTAGAGCAGCGGCGTGTCAAGCCGAAGATCGTGGGTTCGAATCCCGCTCGTGCCATTGACTTTTTTATTTCAACTAAAAACCTTAATTCAATGTAATATATTAATTGGTCAAGCGGACCACGAAATTAGTGAATTTAATTATTTACAAAGTTAGCACGGAGTCCAACCAGAATCCGGTTGTGCTAAGGACGCCCTCCTGTAATTTCTTTGTAAGCCTTGAGGATGGCGTTTCTATGAATCTCTTCGCGTTTCTCATACCTGTAGGATGGTCCACCAGGTTTTGGACTCATTAAGATCCATTTTTAGATGCATCATTTTTTGTGGCAAGGTTGGCCATAGTAGGTTTCGCGGCCTCGAGAATTCATACAGGCTTCTTTCTTGGCCAACTTGTCCACTATACCATTGCCTCTATGTCCCGAATGCCCACTGATACAAGGTCAGGTCGTTGGGATCACTGACTTCTGTCATGAATTCCATAAGTGTTTTCCTTTATCTCGTCCGTCTGTCAAAGAAAATGGCTATATGCCTGGGATGTGTTATTGATGTTTTTCGGGCGGAGTGTTCAATTGATCGTCTCAGACTGGAAAAGTTTAGTTTCAAGTCTGTGTCGGTTTCTGAGGCGTAAATATACTAGTACTGCTGAGTAAAATAAACGATGACATAGATAAGTCAATTAGCTAGTGAAAAAAGTAGATGATTTTAGATTTATCGACACACCTCATATCACACATTCAAAGCACATCCTTTGTTAAATAATCTGACCACAACTTTATTAATTGTTTTAGGGACTCATGGTGGCTCTTTTTTACTGTTTCCTTAATACGGAAGTTCAAAATACCGTCCGCCACCATCTGATTAGGTGGAAGGAAGCGAGGGATATTGGAGTGAGGAGGTATACATATTATTGTAAAACTAGGTCACCAAATTCTGATATTGAGAGTGTTAGGTAGTTCTTGCTCACGTCCCCATTCTATCCGTTGACATATAACTGTGTCACTATTCTCTTTTTGCAGATTGTATTCGAAACACGAAGCCTGCACCAGGATCAGAGGAGAGTCGACGGCGAGCGAGGCGACGACACTCACCCTCGGCTATAGCGGCGCGCACAGAAACACAAACGGGCCGACAGCTAACACCATTCGAGCTTCCGTCAGCCCTTGCCTCGACACCCCTGAGCATGCCGTTTAAATTTTTAAACATAAATGTTTAAATCATTTTTTGTGTCTTTACAATCGATTTTTATCGTGCATTTATTTATTTTATTTCTACCAAAGATATAAGTGTTTTTTAAATAATAATTAACCGCGTCAACGGTTTATTGGAATTTAACTATGGTATTAAATGTTTTTATATTCTTTTAATTCATAAATATTTATTCAAATTATATATTAATTATAATATGAAAGTCATTTATGGGACAATAAAGGGGGGTTGTGTTTATTTAAATATTTTCAACTTATCGGCAAACCAATTGCATTAATTAATCTTAAATGTGTCTTAAATGTAATAAAACAATAAATTCGTTATATGACAAATAAGATCAACATTTATCCAGAGAATTGGTAACTTTTGGCAATTCATAATTGCTTCAAGGAAAAATTATTCTTGTCAATTGAAAAACATTACACACTTCATTAAAAAAATCCAAATCGTCTCATTTATTGGTCATTAACCCTAATTAAACCCTATGTCCATTTTGAAAAATTATGTCAAAAGAATATTTGCATTACTAGCATTAAAAAAGGGAAGGCCAACGAAATGGGTTCACCGATGTTAATTAAACTTTGTTTAGTGATAATTAAAATGAGAGTCTAAAATTGTCGTTTAATTGTGCTGAAAGACAAACATGAAACCAATGTTCCGCCTATTCTAGCTGCTTAGTGAAATTTCGTTTCGATAAAACCTTTTAAAAATTGAATGAAACTCGTTGAATTTGAAAAAGCGTGTGAAAGTTGGGTCCGTTCATTATCGCGGTTATCGCCCATTTCTTTGTTTTATATTTTTCTTACTAAACTGTTAAGACTGAATTTTTTGAAGAAAGAAGTAACTAACTAAAAGTACTAACAAAAGGAGGCTATGGATAAGCGATTTAAATGAAACTATTTCTTATGAAACTAGATAGAAAAATATTAGACACGTGACCCAACTTTTTTTAAAAAGTAAATGTTCTTTTCTGTCTTTGTTGTTGTTGCATGTTACGGTTATTAGGGTTATTATGTATTCATTAAATTCACTAATTTCGTGGTCCGCTTGACAAAAATGGCCATGAAAAATTATTTATAGATTAGGATAAAAAAGTTAGTATCACGAGCGGGATTGAAAAAGGAAAAAAGGAGGGAAAATACAAAAGGTGGGGTTGAGATGGGAAGTTGGTGTCCGAGTGGATCGAGGTCACGATAGCTCAAGTGGTAGAGTAGCGGCGTATCTAGCCGAAGATCGTGGGTTCGAATCCCGCTCGTGCCATTGATTTTTTTATCTCAACTAAAAACGTTAATTAATTGTAAGTTATTATGTATGTTTCACTTGGTTTTTTACCTGATATAAGAAAATTATATTTATATATATATATTGGTATATATTGGTCCTATTAACCAAAGTATTTTATAACTGATTTTTGATTTTTTATGGTTTTTATGCAAAGTATGGTTGAGTTGAAAAATTAGTTTTACGAGGGTGGTTCGAGCCCATGACATCTGAATTAGTACCCTTGCGTTTACTTCAAATACTTTATTACACATTACTATTTATGGCACATCTGGAAGTGACGACAGCTCAAGAGGTAGGCAGATCCGGATGTCGTCGGTTAGTCTCTCTCGTGGCATTAATTTTTCAACTCAACCACTCTTTTCATTAAAGAAAAAATTAAAATCAGTATTAAATGAGATTTAACTATTTGAAAAGTTGCAATAAAAAAGACGATTCCAGTAAAGCAGGTAAAAAAATTTCTTTACTAAAACAACAAATCGGATTCGTTTTGAAGACCATTTAAATCCATTAAATACGAATTTTTATGGAGATCAAAAGTTATAATTTTTTTTGGATACACCAAGGGCAATTATTGATCGCCGGTGTTTCTTTTAAAAATGCATAACTCTTCTGGATTTTATCCAAATTGAACGTTTGCGGAAATGTTGGAAAGCTCGATAATTCATCTTTCACGTTATATCAAAACTTTCTTTTTACTTCATTTTAAGTGTGAAAAAAATTAAACATTTTATTCAATTAGAAATGATAAATAATGGAGTGAGTGTGGTGTTCAATACTTTTTAAAAGGATAATTCCTNACTTTGGCAATTCATGTCGAGAGACGTGGTTGTAGAAGTCCTTCAACCTGATGATGAGCTAAAAGGCTCGAAATCCGGATCGTTGCAAAACAACTTACTGTGAGTAGGAACTATCATTTGAAAAAGTATTTTATTCTATTTATCCGGCTGTTATTTAATTACGAAGGCGGCGTTGGTGCCATTGCATGTTGATTCAAAATTTCTAAACCTGAGGGAACTGTCATTACATCAGTGCAGTGGTATCAAAGTTATGTCATTTCTGTGATTTTCGAATAAATCCCAAGTAGCAAAAAAGTTTACCGAAAAATATTTTGTGAATAACCAAAACTTTAGTCATTTTTTTTTTTAATGCGAAAACTGAATATTGCCTTTGTTTCTTGTGAAAAAATCCAATGAGCCCTAGGAGACATGAAAGTTTCAAAAATTAAATAACATTTTAATGGATGTATTTCAATATATATATAGAAAAAATAATTTAATAAAAAAAATAAATGATAAATAAAAAATATTTTAAAAAACCGACCAGGTGGTATAAGATGGATTTTTAAAAGTTTTCCTACCTTCAGTCATTCATAAGTAAATTCAAAAATTTTCGTCAGCACCCAGAAAACAATTTTTTTGCCCAAAAATCGCGAATAACTCGAAAACGGTTGAGAAATCGTGCAAAGTGGAAGGTTACTAACTGAAACGGACGACTTCCTTGCTCCACAGCTCAATTTGAAGATTTCATAACAGGTGGAAAATTTTACGTGTTTCCGAATTTTTAAATTTACTGATGAATGACTGAGGTTTGTGACCTTAGACTTAGTTTTAAAGCTTCTAAGTTGTCTGGACGTTTCATGTTGATCGGTGGAGTGGTTTCAAAGTAACCTTCATTTTTGTGATTTGCAAAAAAATTCTAAGTAAGGCAAACAAATTGAAGTAAAATATTTTTTGATTTTACGAAAATTTCGTATTATGTATTTTTTTCCACCAAACTTTGGTTCTTGCAAAAAGCTTCTAAACTTCTGTGGAAATTTCCTGCAGGTGTGGTTTCAGATAGATCATAATTTTTGTGATTTTTAAAAAATCGAAGGCAAGTTAAATCAAAATATTTTGTCAAAACAAATATAAAACTTGTATTGAAAGGTTTTTTTATTTCATCTACGATACCCTTGTAATTGTTGCTCTATTTTGACTTTAAATTATTATTATAGTTGTTTCAATAGTTTTGGTTTTAGTCTATAATTTTTGGTGTTTTTTCATTGGACTTGATTTCTTCAACTGACTTTTTCGACACCTACATAAGAATGAAAAGTTCATTCTTTTCAAACTTCATTAGATTATTTCCAATAGTTTAAATTGTGTCTAAATCGAGAGGGATCGGTCCCAAATGTCGGGCTCTCTTGTTTTAGTCAGATTCGAAGGACTGTTTTGAATTAAATATTCATCTCCAACTCTCCAAATGGATAGTGGAGTATATCAAGGTGTGCTGCTTTCCTTGTAACGAAGTTTTTAGACTTTTTCCCCATTCCCACAGGATTTTTTTTACCATTTGGACGTTTAAAATAGCCATCTGACTTACCTTAGAATATCAAGGCTATTATTACAAAATCTCTTCTTACGTGTGTGTATCCAAGAACATGGAAAACGATTAGTCTAAAGGACGCTCATCTGACATCTAACGATCGAGATAAGCCAGGGTCAAAAGGTGAAGAGCCGGGTTATTGCCAAGGGCGACCGAATTGCTGGGTCAAGGGCGATCCGTCGAGAGAAAATTCAGACGCCTGATACCGATTAAGGACGACCCAGGTTACAGGGTCAAGGCGAAGCGAATGCGACCGTCGGGACATTCACCTCACGTAAAATCTAGGCAAAAACTAAAGCGATTATACCTCAGATATGTACCTAATTAACTATGGTAGAACATAAAGACGGAAGCTAAAAGCTTCTAAGCTCAATAAGAGAGATTTTCCAAGAAATCGATTGGATTTGTTTTATCCTAAATTAGAAAGGTTGGTAAAGGGCGTAAATGTATAAGGAATAGTAGATACTCCACAGTAAGTTCGGTGACTTGTGCTTTCTCATGTGATGTGATGATGGAACCTCTGGATGAAGTTGCGGAACAGTCGATCGACGAAGAAGAAGTTATTGGGAACGAACGAGATGAGTTATTGCATTTCAAACTACCTATTGTTCGTGAATGAACTGCGTGAATCATTAGTAAAATGACTGCTGTATAAAAGAAACTGATAAATGTCTATTGTAAAAATCAAAATTAATTTTGGCGGTGATATTGAAAAAAGCTTTTTTTACAGTCAGTGGCAGTATATCAATTCGTGACCCTACCCTCACTGATCCGTCAATAGGAGGAGCTCAATTTGACTTCCTAAAAATNGAAGTCAATTGCAAGAGTTCAAATAACATCTTTTACAATCCTGATATATTATCTTATCAAAACAGAAAAGGAGCTCTAGTTGTTCCCTTAAGGATCCTGATACCCTCACCTGCTCAGTCAATAACAGGAGCTCAATTTGATCTTTTTAGAATTTTTATACTTTGGAGAGAAGTCAATTACAAGAGTTCAAATAACATACTTCACAATCCTGATATATCACCTTATCTAAAAGGAAAAGGAGCTCCATTTGCTCACTTCAAGATTCTGATAACCCTAACCGATCAGTCAATAACAGGAGCTCAATTTGATCTTTTTAGAATTTTTATACTTTGGAGAGAAGTCAATTACAAGAGTTCAAAAAACATATTTCACAATCCTGATATATCACCTTATCTAAAACGAAAAGGTGCTCCATTTGCTCACTTTAGAATTCTGATACTTCTCACAGATCAGTCAGTAAGAGGAGCACAATTACATCACCTAAGAATTCTTATACTTTCGAGATGAGTGAATCACAAGAGTTTTATTAACTTACTGCACAATCCTGATATATCTTCTTATCAAAGAAGAAAAAGAGCTCAATTTGCTCACTTCAATATCCTGATACCCTCACCTGATCAGTCAATTACAGGAAGTCACCCTATGGTTCAATCTTGAACCACTGAACAATGACTCTAAGCAATCAAGATTGTTCCTAGAATACTTCCCTGCGGAAAACGTAAAAAATAGTAAACGAAACTCACTTTAATCCAGCGATCCAAGCATAAGGACTTCTGGATGTGATAGTAGGCTTCGGAGAAAATGATTTTCAACCTGAAAAAGATACAGAGGTACCACACACGGTTATTTGCCATATGTATTGCATTTCTTAGTCGAATAAAAATTGAAATGTGTTGTTTAGTTGTTTAAAATTTGATTGTAGATTCAAGTTTTATCATCTATTAGCAAGTTGACTAAACTTCCAGTTGCTAGCCTTTTAATAATCTTTTTATTCATTTTATTAAGAACTGTGTTTCCAAGGGACAGGGAATCGTAAAACAAAACCCGTCAGCACTTTTAAAACTTGTACCAATACAAAATCCAACATTAATGACCGGCATGATAATGAAGCTACTTTACACTACATACATAAATTTGTACCTAGATGGAAGAAGAAAGTTTACTCTTCAATTCCAAAGAAGTTTTCTGTTAAGTCAACAACACAAAATTGAAATAGTTTTATTTTGTTTACCTTTTTGCTTATTTTTTTGAGAAAGGGTGGTTAGACTATAGTATTGGTTGTGACAATAATTACTAGAAAGAAGATATCTGTATTGATAAGGCTTTTAAATTTTATATATTTTTAAATAAATAATATTTATTAAGACAATCTTTATACTTTTTTCATAATAAATAACAATTATTGCAATTGATTGGCAATATAACAGCTCACTAGTGTATTAACTAAATTTTTGCTTAACACATAATATAAACAAAAATACAAATGACTGTTTCATTTACGCTCTGAACACACTCTATGATTTCTTGTAAAAAAAAATACATGACTGTAAAAATACACCAATTATTTTAACAAGGTAATAAAATACAATTCAAACGTGGCATTTACAAGAGATTCTTACCATTGAACAGTGTCAAATTATCTCAAAAATTATTCTCAATCTTTCTATCAGTCATTGAAAATCAGCAATGTTTAAAGTGTTTTAAACTACCTAATACATTGCAAATATAACACTATTTTTATACTACATAAACTATGAGGTTTTATTTGAGCAAACTATTGACTATTTGAACAAGCAGGTACCTGCTTACATATGTATATTTGTACATATATAATCTATATTATGTATGTATAAATATTTGATTTTGTATTCTAAAATGTAAACAAACTAGTTAAATTACAATCTAAAGTTGTTCATGTTGTTACTTAATAATTAATAAAAATAATTTGGCACTTTCAGCAACACAATTACTTTAAGTAAACTAAAATCACACTGTTTAGATATGAAACAAAACAATCAGTTTATTATTAAAGTAAAAAAATTATGTTACTAATAAAATCACAGATAGCACTGTACTATAATATATACAAGTAAAAATATACATTTCTTCTTACTATACTGGAGAGTTTTTTATTTTGATATCAATCGTAGAATAAGCTCTTGAGTTAACCAGCAGGCATCGCCTCCAGAGGCGAGAGAGCCCGATAAAATAGAAGAAAGCTCCGACGATGAGCATTAGCACGCTGAAGAAGACTTGATAGGGCTTGATAACATTAACCATGAAGTAGAGTACATAGTAAATCTTTGGCGGGAGACCCATCTGCTTCTGTAAAATTAAAAATGATCACATTTTATTTTTAGTGATGGGTTTTAGTGTGAAAAGGAATCTGAGCCTTACATATTCCAACCAGAACATTGGCAAAGCCACATTTGAGAATCTTTTCAGACTTGGGAAATAGCTCATGTCGTGCATTATCAAACTGCTCTGACTCCGAGCCCATGCAGTCAATGGAACACCTGTGTTCTGCGTTGTAAGAAGAAAAAAATGTTAAATTTTTCACTTAAGTAAAATATTTATATTTTCTTTTTTTTGTATAAAAATAACTTACGGGTTCGATGAGTGCGACTGAACCATGTTTCTCCCAGTTGGGAGAAAGACCTTCCAGTTTCTCCGTTACCTTCGGGTCTGCATACATAAAGTGTGGGAATGAAGAGGCAATCGGAAAATCTGTTTAAAAAATATATTTACATACATTACTAATAAATTAATTATCTTTTAATAAAGAAATTAAATAAATAAATGGCAGGAAATGCAGTGATTTGAGGTTTGATTCGGATTACTCATATCAATGTTATAGATTAACTAAATATGGTTTTTAGTTGAGATAAAAAAGTCAATGGCACGAGCGGGATTCGAACCCACGATCTTCGGCTAGATACGCCGCTGCTAAAGCTCTAAAGCTCTCAATGGCCGTTTGATTTGTCGCCGAGAATCAAATAGATTACACGAGATTTGAAAAATGGCAAAAAGGAGGGAAAATTCGAGAATCAAATAGATTACACGAGATTTGAAAAATGGCAAAAAGGAGGGAAAATTCAAAAGGTGTGGTTGAGATGGGAAGTTAGTGTGCGAGTGGACCGAGGTCACGATAGCTCAAGTGGTAGAGCAGCGGCGTATCAAGCCGAAGATCGTGGGTTCGAATCCCGCTCGTGCCATTGACTTTTTTATCTGAACTAAAAACCTTAATTAATTGTAATATATTAATTGGCCAAGTGGACCACGAAATTATTGAATTTACATATTTTTATTACTACACTGTACAGATTTTAAAGTTTTATGGACAAAAAAATGCTTACCTATTTTAATTTATTTGTGAAACTTAAAGTGTGAAAATGTTCATTTACAAGCCTTGTTTTGTTTTTTATTGTATATATTATATGTATGTATTTTATTATTTTGCAAACAAAATGCATGTTGTATTTGTACGGAACACGCTTAATAAATATTTTTTCAAAATTCAATTGTGATATACCACAAGGTTCTGTTATGAGCCCATAGTTGTTTTCTAGCTATTAATGACCTGCCTTTTAATGGACTTAATATTGTTTTCAGATTGTATCGAATCTGTCAAAAATATAAGAGAAATTGTAAAACTGCATGTCACTAAATTTGATTATTTTAAAAAATTTAATCTAGACCAAAAGCTACCATTGACTGATAATATTTTTCAACTTTGGAAAAGGTCTCGTTCTCTGTTATTATAAAAAAAGTACAAGAGGAAAAGCCATTTTATTATTAAAATGAGTTCCAATTGGACAATTCATATGCAAATACTTTATTTATCGGTTGTTATTGTCAATTCATATCAAATAAAAATAAAACCTCCGAGTATTGGATACGTAATGGGTTTCCAAAGTCTAATTTGTACGATAAAGAACGAGAAAAACGTAAAAATCACAAAAAAGAAAGAAAATGCATTGCGCTACTCCAACTACAATAAAATTCATGAAATGATATCATGGATGATCGTTAAGTTGCGTGTGAATATATTTACGTCCACTTTGAAACGACATCGTGTAGGTTGGGGATGCATTATTCATGAATGCCTACTTCTTTGTGCACTTGTCTCTTTCAAACCATTAAAAAACAATTTGCCGAATATTCCTAATTAAAAAAATATATATGCAATATTAGAAATCCGTAAATTTAGAATATTTAAATTAAAATTTGCTAACTGAATCAATAGTGGTATAAAAATAAAAGTGCGGGTTTTATTAGTTGAATTTTTGAATTAAAAATAAAATGAGATTAGAGAAACTATTATTGATCTGAACTAATAATATAGAAAAACGAGATATTAAAAAAATTACTATTGATGAAGAACAAATTTATAAAGGGATTTCTAAATTGATTGCCCATGAGTATTTAATTTTTGAAAATTAAGCATTTGGGATAAATAGTACTAAAAATCTAGTTTCACGTAGATGAAATTAGAAGTACATTTATTAAAAAAAACCATTAATAGTATCATTTGAAAGACTTGATCTTTCCGTATTTACAACAACAAAAATAAATGTCTGATTTAAATTATCTCGATTTTTATGTCCTTAATTGGAAGGACACGTCTTGATTTAGCTCAAATTAGAGGGTGAAGTAACTTATAATAAATAATTATATTTTAGTACTAACAAGTGTTTAGAGCTTATTTTCAGTACCTATAAAATAGATAATGTCGCAAAGGGTGCGTGGTTTTCTCCCACACTTGCAGGTCAAGTTATAAATGATCTAATAATAAGGAAAATTCCGTTTATGATTTATTTATAATCGTCCCTAAATCTTTAGAAAATAAAGATAACACCTAGCATAAAGCCAGTGAAACCGCTGTGCAAAGCAAAGGTATAGGCTTTCTGACTACCAACTTGATAGTAATGCTAAAAAGTTGGAAAATATCGGAAAATAAACGCTGCACTTGGTCATAGACTATACAAACAGCACCTACTGAAGGATATCCCAAGGAGGGTACTATCGCCACTTCTTTTTTTGATAGTAGTAGATGAAAGTAAATAAGTAAAATGCCATGTCAGCTGGGTGGGTGTTTTTCACTTTTCACCGGATGACTATCGACAAGGACCAGGGGCTGAGTTATGGAAAGTTTTGACAATTACGAGTTATTGCGCGGCCCTTGTAAGAAGGAAGTTGACCATCAGGGCCCAGCAGTTTTTGCTTTTCTTTACCACCCCTTCCCTAGTTTGAAATCGGTATAACAGAGGATGATTTGATAAGCAAAGTGAGTCAAATCCAGGAGGCAATGAACTCGAGGACTCAGTAATTGCCAGAGTCAGTCGGAGACAGAAGCCGAGACACTACATCGACTGTCCAAGACCGATACGAGCAGAATAGAGTCGACTGTCGAGGGTTTCAGAAAATTTGAACAGGAGAACAGACTTAGTCAGCCAGAATCGCGGAACTCAGTAGGAGCACCCAGTCAACCCGAGGAAACAGAGCAGTCAAGTAACCAACTCCGCCTGGGACTCAGCCAGCAAGGACCAGCCATTGCTACAAGTCAAATAGAGGCGACTTTCGAGGATCCAAGAAGTTGCAGGAAGAAGGTCGTGGAAATTGCTGGATGACATGGTATTGACGAGTTTCGTTTGGGTCAAGTCCTCTTGTGAACAAGCCCATTCCGAAGTTAGAGTCATGGCTGACTTTTCTTGACTTTTTGCTTGACTGTTCCCATGCTAACATGGGCCAGTGTAATAATAAATGTGTATGAATATCTCTTGGTTTATTGTATTTTTGAACCCTACATTCCCGTACACAAAATGTAGTTAAGCGCGTAAGCTGGATATACTATTATCGTTTGGAGCGTCAGTGCCCGCTTTTATGATATATCACACAGTTTAACACAATGAGCGCTTTGAAAAAGACTATGATACTGTACAGTTCCGTACGACAATGGCCAAAACCCCAGAAATAGAAGGGAATAGCGCCTCTTCATGGCCTGCTTATAACCCTAATATTACGCCATTAACTTACTGCCCACAAATAGCGCTTCGAATGCATCAACACGATGATCCAAAACATTGGTCACACAAAATAAATTCTTTTCAATTAATTAAGGTTTTTGGTTGAGATGAAAATTGAAAAATGGCAAAAAGGAGGGAAAATTCAAAAGGTGGAGTAGAGATGAGAAGTTAGTGTCCGAGTGGATCGAGGTCACGAAGCTCAAGTGGTAGAGCATCGGCGTATGTAGCCAAAGGTCGTGGGCTCGAATCCCGCACGTGACACTTACTTTTTTATCTCAATCAATACCTTTCATAAATATTAATTAATTGAAAAAAGGTAATTGGTCAATCGGACCACGAACTGTAATGGATTTAATAATTAAACTGAAGTATATCTTCACAAAAGCTCTCCGTGGTTATTTCATTTGTCGCCGAGAATCAAATAGATTACAGGACATTTGAAAAATGGCAAAAAGGAGGGAAAATTCAAAAGGTGGGGTTGAGATGGGAAGTTAGTGTCCGAGTGGATTGAAGTTACGATAGCTCAAGTGGTTAGAGCAGTGCCGTATTTAGCCGAAGGTCGTGTGTTCGAATCCCGCTTGTGACGCTGACTTTTTAAGTAAAGGTAAGTGAGATTTTTTGATAGAAGTTTAGGGTTGTTCGTTTTGAAATCCAAACTGTTTTAGAGAATTTGAGGAAATTGTTATTATTAAAACAAGTATCTTTTTAAATAAAATTCGACGGTAAAAGCGTTGAACGAGTTGATATTAGAAGTCTTGATGTAGAAAATTTGACGAAAATATCAACATAATAATAGAAAATAAAAACTGTAAAAATACTAAACAACTGAACATAATGAAAAATACTAAAAACATGCGTGTTAATGGAAAAAAAACTGAAGGAATCATTCTTGATGTCCCTGAAACCCTCGTCATTCCCGCTAAAGTTTAAAATAATCATTGAACTTTGTTTATACCTTTTTACAAAAAAAAAAACGAGGACAAAATGATTTACCCGAATTATCTATCATCTTGATAAAATTATGTAATCAGGAAGAACCTAACGATTAAAAGGGATCGATTTGGGGAGCAAAAGATAATCATATAAAGACGTTGATTTTTTCCGTTTAAATATTTGAATAAGTACATCAATTAATAGTGCAAAATTATAATTTATTTTCGTACTATTAGCAAGACCGGAACTACAGTTACACAACGTTTGCAGAAATTATCGGCAGCTGGCAGTTTAATTACAACTCATTAGATCACGTGTACGATATATGAAAAATTGACTTACTGTAATAGCAAGGTGAGACGTCACTTAGACCGGAAAGCAGAGTCGGGTAGGAACTGTCCCTGTAGCACTCTTCCTGTCCTTCAGGTGGTCTGGCGAAAGTCGTGTTAGGAAGCTCAAACCTATAAGTCTTTACTCCACGGACAATGACATCCCCTAAAACAAGTTTGTCATAAAATTCAAATAAATAAATTCTCCTACGAATAAAACCGGAAGGCCTGAAACACATTTAAATCTCTTTTCTCCGAACAGACTGTATCCTGCTCAACAACTCAGTTTAGTAGGCAACTCTGACTTCTATTTTATAATTTTTAATTAGATAAATAATTCAATCATAGTTCAATAAATATAAAGTTATGCAATGACTTAGGAATTTAACCAATTTTGCAATCAGATTGCAAATACTTTTTTTCTTTTGGTTTGAACATTTACCACTGTAGAAACAACTATAAGTAAATATAATGACTGCAATAAAAAAATGGACTCTAGGTTGCTAATGCATATAAGCACACACTTATTACTCGTTATCATTTAGACTGAGTTGACGGAGCCACTGGCGTTTTATTCCGCACTGAGGACTCTAAAAAAAGGCTGAGGAGAGGTGGTTTGCTAAGCCATAAGGATGATGTTGAGTGAAGAGTGTAATTAGTCATGTTGGGATTTTTTGGGATTTTTTTGAATATTGGGAATGTCATTGATGGTACATGTATTATATAACTGCCAAGTTTTCGACCTCTTTATTTAGCCTTCATCTGGGCTCTACAGTACAGCATCAAAACCTTTGGTATTTTATGACTAATTATACACAACAAAAGTTTGAAAACGATTTTTGGACAGGAAAGATTGGATTCAACATCGGGGAGTGCGGTGTCAGATAGTTAGGGCGTCCGAGTATTTGTCATGCTACCGGTCCTCGATTCGAATCCCAACCCGTGGCTTTTTATAATTGAGAATAATTACAAGCCGTGTGATTTGGGACATAGAAAGGATCGTTTCTAACACAACGGATGGTTTTGGACGGAAGGTCTACCTTTCACAAACAAAATCTGCTTTATATTAGTGAAGGAGATGGACTGATGGGTTCAGCTAAACATTTCAATATCCTTCCCGTCAAAACTCCTTGATGCTGCTTCATCCAACGAAACTATCCTTACAGACCTAAATATTTCTTTTTTTTCCAGATGCAGTACTCTCTCGTTAACGCAAGTTTCATAAATGCTTTTCAACCACCACCAAAAATTCTCAAATCCAGAAACTCCCATCCGGACAAATTCCCTCAAACCAGGGATCTCCTAACCAGCGACAGTGACACAAGTTGTCATAATGGATAGGTTTTTTTTTAGGAGGAAGTTGATAATGTGTTTGAGATCGGATAAAGAGAAGACTGGGAAAACGTTCATCTGGTTTGATCTGTTCCACTTCAGTCTGTATTTTGTGAACCAGGTAAGTTAGATGAACGTATTGTACTTTAAATTCACTAATTTCGTGGACCGCTTGACCAATTAATACATTACAATTAATTAAAGTTTTTAGTTGAGATGAAAAAAAGTTGATGGCACGAGCGGGATTCGAACCCACGATCTTCAAACCTCACCTTTTGAATTTTCCCTCCTTTTTGCCATTTTTCAAATGTCGTGTAATCGGATTGGATTCAAATGAAATAGCCACGGAGAGCTTTAGTGAAGTGTACTTCATTTTAATTCATTAAATTACACGACATTTGAAAAATGGCAAAAAGGAGGGAAAATACAAAAGGTGACGTTGAGATGGGAAGTTGGTGTGCGAGTGGATGTATTGTACTTTTTCTACTTGTCGTTCAAGATCCTTCGCCTCGCTGTATACACATCTGGTAATGAGTTGTTTGTTGTGGTATGTTTGGCAGTACATTGTAAGTTTTGTCCTCATATTTGAGGACAAGGAGAGGTTTTTCAGGTACATTAAGTTGAAAACACTAAATATTATTTCTATACAAGCAGGATTGAAGTCACGATAGGTCAAGTGGTTACAGCAGCGGCATGTTGAACCAAAGGTTCGAATCCCGTTCGTGACACTTGCTTTTTCATCTCGACAAAGACCTTAGATTGAAAGTATAACCTTCACATTGAGTGAACATTGAACAGGTTACAGTGTAAAGGAGTGTTGCCACTGGGCAATCTTTGTTAAACGAGATTCAAATGACTAATTCAACATATATGAATATATTTACTTAATACAATATTTGTAGTTGAAAATATCAAATAAATGTAATATATAAAAAATTATTAACATTACACAACTTATTCAGAACCTTTTCATGAATGAACCTTTGAAAATTCCATCAATTCTAGTATCATAATTTAAAAAAGTAATAATTTTATTCAAAAAGTAATGTCTATATTAGAGAATAAATTAAATATACTTTTTATTCAACACAGCTTCCTCTTGTAGAACTTATTTCTTAAATTTATTTACTTAACCTTGACATTCTGAGGCGAAAAACAAAATATGCAAATAGAAATGAAAAAGCGGTGTATCTTATTATCTGTTCATCAACCCCCATCAGACCTCAGAAAATATGAGAAAAGAGAAATGATACTTTTATGTTTTTGTTTATGAAATGCTCACCGGTGTAATACAAAGGGACGGCTCTGCATATGGTCTTTCTCAAATAGTATATGGTATCTTCTTTACGGATGTCCTGGTGGTACGAAACCCCTTCTGAAGAACCTTGGACGGAATCGCACGTCTCGTTCGGCCACACTTGCATCCCCGGGGCACCGTTGTACTTGTCGATTTTGAAAAACTCCCTCGGCCCGTTGTCCACGCCGATTTTGACAGTGACCCTGTCCTCGAAGCTTTTATATATCTGCGGAAATGTTTTTCTGTCATAATTAGCTTCAGTCTTAAACGTTCGGTTTATAAAAGATTTTAATATTCTCGTTACTGACGCTGACTATTTGCCAGACCTGTCTACCTTGTAATACATTTTTTAACGACTATGAATTAGTAAATTGATGCCTGATGTGATGGCAAGTTTCGTAACTGAGATTTTCGGTCGACAATTGCCTATGACTGTTTAATCGGTACTAGATTGCCCGAATAGAGGGTTATGTTTTATTTATGGTCATAATTGTTATAATGGGGCAATATGATTTTTTTATTTACTCAAGAATTTACGCTTACGAAATTTCAATATCGAATTGACGATTGTGATTAATTAACATTCAATGTCTTTAAAATCGAAATTTCTGCCTATTATTTCATCATAATTAGCCTGAATTTATTTATATATGCCTGATTTTCGAAAATAGAAGATATTAGTGGTTAATGGTCAAATGTTAAATTTATTAATAAGACGAAAGACGTGGAGTGCACTTTACGATTGCCAATGGTTTGATCTTGACCTTAACCTGCTTAACTTTCAGTAATAAGTACGGTGAAGCAACGTTGTCAACGCCCGGTTCTCCTTGCATTGAAATGGATCTTTCCAGGCGTTGTAATTTTTTCCCCCCAATTATATTATATATCTAGTCTAGTTTTAATTTTTTCTCAGAGCTTATAATATACCCAACATTCTTCAATTTAGTATGTATTAGGTTGGCAAATAGTGATTTTACATAAATGTAGGACAAGTTCATCGACAGGTTCTGTATTAGAAACTCTAGCCGAAATCCAAGTTGTTCGCTGGAATCTATGAATAATCAAAATTCCAGCCACTCGAGAAGCGCGTCGGAAATGACTCGGTAGAAACAGGTTGACTTATGTTAATCAATAATAACACAAACGTTTACCTGATTTAGAATTCCGACATTGTCTGTTGGCATAAAAGAAGGAAAGAGAGAGATCCCGAGACGAAGAACTGGATCCGTGAAGTTCCAGAAGTACTCGTCGACCGTTACCTTCGAAAACGGCTTCGAACCGGCCCTGTTGGTTATCATCTTCAGGCCTAGCTTCGTGATGAATGCCGCGTCCGATATGTAAGAAGATGCGCCCTGAAATCAAAAAATAAATTACACCTTTCAAAATTAATCGGTTCTCTTAGATTAAAGTCTTAAAAATCGAATTAGGAAAGACTGGTTGGAAAGGTTTAATCAATACACAACAGCATGTAATAAAGTCAGGTATGGAGTATGTGTATGCCGGTAGAACATAAAGGACAGATTTATACGACATAAGGTTGACAAGGGTACTTTTAGGAATTTGGCGGAAGATGTTTTCTATGATTAAGTCATCAATCATTAAAAATTTTACCTTAAAACTCCTAAAATCCTTCAAAACTACCCAAAAAATGACTTTTTTTTACGAGGGTTCTCAACAGCAGAGGTTATATCAACCCTCGGGGTGCCGGTGTTTTTGAAAAAAGCCCATTTGTGAGTATGTCGGGTTCGAATGTAGGGCCGCTGGATTCGAACCTGGGACCTTTACATTACAGTGATGAGCGCCTTGTCAACGCCTAAACTCTTGCGGCCACCGACGCCCCTATCATCATACTCATTGGAAACACTCTTACATCCGAATATTCCCCAAAACCAACACAATTCATTGACCTACTTCATATCGACCAATAAGTCTACTATCTATTTGGTAAAAAAAAATTATAAAAGCTCCTATTTAAAATAATTTGATCCTATATGATTAAAGGGTAGATAAAGGATTTAAAACACGTGGGCGAATTTTGATTTTGTCCACGTGTGTATCAATTAAAAGGAACTTAAACTGTTGATTATTACGGTCAATTAATGCCAAAGAGAAAAACGAAATATCTGTACACTATATGCAATCTAAATACTAGACCGTTTAGTAGCTGTGCTCAACTGTAAATGTAACATCGGGGGCATACCTACACGCTCTCTATTTGGAGCCAAGAAATGACACTCTTCGATTGAATGGGCCACATCGAGTAACCTTTGCCTACATACCGGACACAAATGTGGGCTAGCTTTAACTAATCTTATTTAGGGCCTATATATTTCTTAATATTTTACCTCAACGCTTTTACACTACGCATTCAAACTAATAAATACATTCAATCTTAAAATATACAAAAAACAAACATAAAACAGCTCTATTTCTTCCAAAAATGAAACTGGGGACCCAAACAGTCGCTGGTGATCTCAACTGCAAATCTCATATCGGGGGGCATTCCTACACGCTCTCTATATGGAGCCAAGGAATGACACTCTTCCACTGAATAGGCCACATCGAGCAACCTTTGCCTACACACCCGACACAAATTCGGGCTTGCTTAAACTAATCTTATTGAGGGTCAATATAGTACTTAATGTTTTACCATCAACGCTCTCACACCTACGTATTTAAACTAATAAATACATTCAATCTTAAAATATACAAAAAACAAACATAAAACAGCTCTATTTTTTCCAAAAATGAAACTGGGGACCCAGACAGTCGCTGTGATCCCAACTGCAAATCTCATATCGGGGGGCATTCCTACACGCTCTCTATACGGAGCCAAGGAATGACACCCTTCAATTTTGTAGTCCGCATCGATCACCTTTCTCTACATGCCGAGCACAAACGTAGGCTTTGGCCCTAACTAATCTAATTCAGGGTCGATGGGCACTCAATATTCCATCATTCACGCTAATAAATACTTTCGATATTAATATTACAAAAGGAAACAGAAAACGAGATATCTATCTGTACTATATGCAACAAAACAACCCTGTTCCATCCAAAAATCTGAACCTACATGCTGCCGCTCACAGAGGCACTTGCTGGTGGCCTCAACTAAAAATCTCATCTCGGATGGCATTCCTACACCGTCTCTATATGGAGCCAAGAAATGATATCTTCACATTCTGTAGAGCACATCGAGCAACTCAAATTATTTTTTTAATTCCACAAATTAGTAAGTTGTTTTGTTATTTTTCAATGTACTTAATTACATTTTTATCGTTTTTTACAACACACTTTTTACTGCAACTACAAAAAAATAATTGACGTTTTCAACATAGTTTTCACAGGAGGTGTAAAACCGCTTTTTCTACTAAGTTTTCTATGGAAATTAATTAGGTTTATTGCTGCTTAATTAAACTAGGTTAATTTTTACTATAATTATTTTACCAATAGAACTAGGTTTGGTACAATAATTGTATCCATCTTTGGATTGAGCTTATTCAATTCCGGAAGGAAAATCGCTTTTCTCAGCGCCGTGTAGCTGAGTGTGTTGTTGTTATTTTTAACAACGTCATTGTGGTATAGTTTTTCCCTGAAATTAAAAAAAAATTGAGCCAAATATTCATATTTCTTCAAGGTAAACAAAATATATAAACAATTCAATTTTACCTGAAAATGTAAGGGCCGATTTCTTGTACGATCAACTTGTCCGCCGAGCCGTTCATGAACTCCTCGGAGTTGGTGTAGTTGAACACGTAAGCGCTCAGGAGGACTTCGTCCGGCGGGTTCTGCCACCAGTCGTAAGCCGGGAGTCCTTTCATCATCCTCAACCTCTGCGAGACATTAGACAAAGATAAGAAATCGTTTCCAACAAGAATTTACTTAATTTTAAATGTACCTCACGTAATATCAGGTCGAAAGGTTTCCAGATTAACGACACCATACCAAGAGTTGTGAGAAAACTGCCAAGAATTAGAAAAAGAAGGTAACCTACAGAAAAATTGGTTCGGTTTAATTTACTGCCAAAACTCCTTTCAAACTTTACACATTAATTGTATGTATTTAAGTATATTTAAAAGGTTTTTTCGAATCAAAATTCAGGTTCGTAAAGTTAAGTCTCAGATAATTGACATAGAACTTGGTGGAAAAGTAGATCCAGAGATTCTAGTTTATCTTCTATAATCTAAATTTATTTTCTTTATCTTATCAATCACATGACACCCTTTTTTTAATACTATGTATATACAAGATAAATATACATTGAGAAAATAGTTTAGATAATTATGTTTAAATATAGTCAAATATGATAGATCTGTCAGACCATAAGGCAGTGGGCTAAGAAACTCGCCAGTGCTGGAACTCTCTTTTATTTAGTTGGGAGGGTTAAGATAGGTCAGGAAGCCACCTTGGTCTTAGTCGGCGTGGAAATATGCTTAGCCAGCAGTGGGCTAAGGTGGAGGGATAGTTTAGAATGGAAATTGAGGAAGCGTGTTCGGAAAAGATCTTTTACTTTGAAATGAAAAGATTGGATCAGATGGATGTTGTAGGATTTGATCTAAATCAGTCTGATGAAGTTTTGTAAGCGTCAGTTTGTTATGTATGCTTGTTAAGTGCTTTAAATCTTGTATGTGGATTCCATGTAAGTTTATGTAAGTAAAGCCCAAGGTAGCGACTTGGTTGGTTGTATTTCCTAGTTGTTTGTTCACGGGTGGGCAGGTCTAACCTTTGATCTAACTATTTGCTGGATTTTTTCTCCGTTCTACCTGATCCGCCACCTAATGCACCAGTCGGTAATGAGGTACAGATGTCGGATTGCTGTAGATATGTCAGCAGTGTAGATGGTGAAGAGGATTGGACCTAGGATACTTCCTTGTGGAACGCCAGCCGATCTCACTTTCAACCATCGACAACAAGGACTTAAGAATAAGAATGTAAGAATTATTATAACGTTTTAGCTTCTAAAGGAAGTCGGGGTGCCACGCTGGAACGCTTCCATGCCCGGACGGCTGTACTGTTTATTTGTTGTACTATTGTTTATTTTCCAAAGATACCGTACCGATTACTTTCAAGCAATGCTGAATAGTAGAATGAAGGGGTTGAATCCAAATTGCTGGTTAGGAATTAGGTTTCAGAGTCGAATATGAAAATTAGTCTCTTGAAGAGAAAACGTTCAATGATTTTGGTTAATATAGGAAGGGGGCTTATTGGTCTATAAAAGATGAGGCAGAGGAGAATATTTATGGTTTTGGTATCGTGGTTATTAACAATAGTTTCCACTCAAGGTCTCAGAGCGATCTCCGAAGCGTTCAGGACCAGTCCCTTGGCCAGTCTGTGCTGTGAGCTGGGTGTATTGCCTCCCGAACTACGGAGAGAGCAGCTCACCCTCAGTTACGCGGTCGGGAATCTTGCCAAGCCGTGGCATCCTCTAGCAAGGACGATTCTTGAGTGCCGGTACAGAGCCGTCTATGACATACTTCGCTCGGGACGCGACCCATCGGGATTCGCTTAGGCGAGGCCTTAGGGAGGTCTGGACTGGCTCTGGGGACCGTGCTTCGGCTGGGCGACCGACCGACACCTCCCTGGACCCTTCCTGCCGTCCTCGTCCGTGACGATCTGGCGTGCTTGCCCACACCTCTATAAGACTAAGTTCCTTGAACTTAGGAACAAGTACGCCGGTTTTGGTCTAGTCTTTACAGACGGGTCCAAGACTGGCGATGGTGTGGCCTGTGCCGTGTATAGCAAAGGAGTTGCCACCTTCTGGTCGCTGCCGCCCCTTTGCAGCGTATACACGGCAGAACTGTAGGCGATCTGGCACGCTCTCGAGGCGGTGCTGACCGAGGACGGATCTGCCTTCCACGTCTGCACCGACTCTCTGAACGCTGTTTAGGCCCTACGAGACGGGTTCTCTGTGGAAACTCTCGTCGTGCTGCTGATGGAAAAAATCGCCGAGTTGAAGCGCGAAAAACGGTGGTTGTTGTCTGGATCCTCGGACACGTCGGGCTGGAGGGTAATGAACGTGCGGACGAGGCGGCAAAGGCCGGGACATCCACCCTCAAGCGACCAGGCCCTCTGACGCCAAGCTAGCAGTAAAGACCATGATAAAAGAAAGATGGTCAGTAGGCCGAGTCGTCCGAGAGGCTTTGCGCGTCAAGAGCACGATTCGTAGATGGCGCCCCGAGAGCCTGAGCCGGAAACAAGGAATCGTCCTTACGCGATTAAGAATAGGCCATACACGGTTGACACACGGCCCCTTATGCAGAAAAAGGTAGCTCGATGTGTCCCACATACTGGAAACATGCCATGCCTTGGCACCCTACGGGGAGCGGGTAGGCATGCCATCCAATCTGAAAATGGTACTCGACCACTGCAGCGAGTTTCCGGGTCCCCTGTTCCGCTTTTTAGGGGAAATTGGGTTTTTTTATTGTATATAATATGTCTTATGTGTTATGTTTCTATACGTTTTGTCTGAGTGCATGTATTTATTAGCGTGAATGGCGAGGGGTGAGGGTGAAATATAACATCATCATCGCCCCTCGAACGTTGAGAGCGTATGAGTGTGTGTTCGGGGTCGATGGCGGAATATTTATAAAAGTACTCCATCGACCCCAATCTAGATTAGTTTGAGTACAGGTCGGTGGAGGAATATCAAGTATTCCACCGACCAAATGGAATGAGTGTATTGTATGTATGTATTTATGTGTATGAATGTATTTATTTGTATGAATGTAGTGTTTGAAAGTGTAAATAGAATATTGACTAGTTTGGGGCTTAAAATGACCTAGATGTCGGAAGCCCCAGTAAAAAAAAAATGTTTCCACTCTATGCTGGAATAGGTTATGCAAAATCTTACGTTGTAAGTTGTAGTGCAAACTATTGCTTTTTTAGGAAGAAAAATTTATATGATTTTGCGGGGGTAAAAAGATTCTAACCCGAGGGTTTGATTTCGGAAAGGCATAAAATTTGAGTAAGAAGAAAAGGTTTACTTTGCGTAAGGCGTCTACAGTGAAAAATATGGTAGTGGGTTCCGTCAGCAGTTGATTAGGTTTGATTAATAAACGAAATACTAATTAACTCAAAAACCTCTCACTTAGACGGTTGGTAATTTATTCATTTTAAGGCATGACCGTCTCACCCTGAACTTCTTGGTCGACCTGAAGCAGTTCCAGAGCAAAAAGACTTCCTTTCAGTCCCCACCTGGAAGTTTCCGGATTTTATCCGCTCGTAATCCCTCTCAAGGTGGAGTTTTATTATATTGCATTTGGTTTCAAGGAATTGTACTGTTGTCATATGAAAAACATGGAAAATTTTTATATGCCCAATCCTAACAGTTGATCATGTCCAACCATGACATCCAAGGAGAACGACAATTCCGACGGTGCACTTTTGTTTCTTACATTGACCCAAAGATTATTTTTTGTTTAAATTTGCATTAACAGGAACAGATTGTAATCGCACAATGTCTAGCCATGTAAGACTCGGCCTCCTTCCGTTGTGGGTCAAAACGTGCCCATTCCCAGTCTTCCGGCTTCCTAAGGGAATTCACAGACAGCGAATAAACTGATTCAAGTAAATTCATAATCTTCAAGTCGAGGGCGCCCTTGAAAAAAGTTAATGGAGGCTCGTAATCGCTATAGCACTACTGTTACACGCTCCATTCAACTGCTGTCACACTACTCTCCAATTAACGGTCCATTACCTCGTCTTTGTGAAAGCATAGAATGAAATCTATCTACAGACGTGTGTAATTCACGAGGGAAAACGAGAAAATCAACATGTTATGAATTTTTTCCGCTGTCCTTTGTTTTTTCAGAAAGAATCTTTTTCTGACCTTGCCAACCACCCTTGGCTCACTAACGTCATAGCCATATTAAGTGCACACTGTTTCGTCCTTAAGTAGCATTTTTTTCCATTTCAAAAAGCCAAAAGGAATGTTAAAAATCTATTGGAACTGTGTTTTTTCAAATTCTCGACAATCTTACAAATAAATTTCTGTATCGATTGTCCCTTTATTACAAGTGTTATAATCTACGTACAAGTGATACGACGGAGGGTGAAGGTATAATTGTGTTAGAGTAGACGAGAAGCTATCCAGTGATGGGGCGTATCCCGTTTCAACCACTGAACCGACATGACAATACGTTTCGACCCAGGAAGTTTATAAATAGAGAAAATGTTTCTACCCAGTAAAGTACTCATCGTAGTAAATACACTGGGGCAAAAAATTCCACAATCATTTTTTTCATTTTCTCGATAAAAGCAAATTCTGTTCTTTATTTGTCTCATTGATTTTGTCAATAAATATTGGTTTAAGTTGTAAAATTTAAATGGCAAATATCAATTAGAGGTAAACGCATTTAATCCTTAATCCAAAGGATGAAGGATTTTTCAATGTTTACTTTTTACGGAATTTAAAATGTTTATCCAGTCGCATTTGATTTCTGAAGCAATAAACTGTTTAGTTTTCATCTTTCTTTTCTTAACTTCAATTTTTAAACTTAGTGCTGAGGATGTGCGCGTGGTGTGGCACTTACGGACGTTCCATCAGGTATGCGGCTATTGCCATCGGAGTTCCCTACTGAACACTACGTGACGCGGTTAGACATTTTCGAAAAACTGGGTCCTACCATAGAAGGCTCGGTTCTGGACGTCCTAGGGTAACAGAATCACATGATCGTTTTTGACTTTGAAAATTTTGCGAAACAGGCACATTACTGTTGTTCAAGCGAGCCATCAGCTCCAGGATGTTCGAGGTGTCTAAATTGCTAAACGCACTGTTCGAATAAGATTAAATCAGTATGGACTGATGACTTTTTGCCCCGTAAAAGGACCAGAATTGACCAGAACACACAGCTCCACGGTTCGCATTTGCTCAAACACAGCGGACAATTGGTCTGCTGTACTTTTTACAGATGAGTGTAGATTTGCTCTACGATGTCCAGATAGTCGTGAAGAGTGTGGAGAAGGCGAAATGAAAGGTACAAAGCTTGTAA